AAGAGGAGGGCCCCCAACTTCGAGCTCATTGATGGGCAGCTCTACAAGAAGACGTTCGGCGGGCCATACCTGAGATGCCTTTCACCGAGCCTGGCAGCGGCCGTCATTGAGGAGATACATGAAGGCATCTGTTCCAGTCACCAGGGCCCTCGTACTTTGGCACGAAAAATCATCTTGCAGGGGTATTACTGGCCGACCATCCAGCAGGATTGCTTCAATCATACTCGGAAATGCGCAGTATGCCAGCAATATGCCCCTGTACCCGGGCGGCCGGCAAGCTTCTACACCCCGATGACGGTTGCATTACCCTTCGCCAGATGGGGCATAGATCTACTGGGCCCTCTTCCGACGACGGCCGGCGGAAGGAAGTTTGTCATTGTAGCGATTGACTACTTCACAAAATGGGTAGAAGCCGAGCCACTGGCCTCCATCACCGAATATCAGTGTCAGAGGTTCCTCTGGCAGAATGTTATATGCCGCTTCGGGATTCCAGAACAGGTCATCACCGACAACGGCCGGCAGTTCGTCGGCAGAGGATTTGAGGCATACCTGGCGAAGTGGGGCATCAGGCACTCTAAGGCCTCGGTGGCCTACCCACAGGCCAACGGTCAGGTGGAGAACATGAACCGGACCATCATGGATGGGATCAAAAAGAAATTGGAGGATTACGCGTCCACCTGGCCGGAGCAGCTCAATTACGTACTCTGGACATACAGAACAACCCCAAGGACGGCAACCGGCGAGACACCTTTTGCTTTGGCATACGGATTCCAGGCCAAGGTGCCAACAGAGGTGCTGGTGCCCACACATCGCACAAAGCACTTCCAGCCGGAGGACAACGAGGCAAACCTACGAGCGGAGCTCCATTTCATTGAGGAACGAAGAGACCTAGCAGCTCGTCGCATGGAGGAATATCACCGAGCCACCCAAAGATACTTCAACAAGGCGGTGAAGATCCGCGAAATTGAAGCTGGGGACCTCGTACTCAGAAAGAGAGAGAAGAGCAGGCCGCTCGAAGGTGGCAAGATGGCCAAAAACTGGGAAGGGCCGTACAAGGTCATGAGAAGATACAGCCAGGGGACGTTCCTCCTCCACACCTTGGAAGGGAACCACGCTGGGATCTGGAACGTCGAACACTTGAAGAAGTTCTACCAATAATTAGAGATAGATCGTTGTAATATTTTGGTCGAAGTACCATGTAACACCGCCGATCGTCATCTCTATATTAAAAGGATTACTTCTGTTCTTCACTTCCTATAGAGAGATTAAAAGCCGAAGTGCTATTGAAATGATTTCCTCCTCAAAAAAAAAAAAAAAAAAAAAAAAAGAGGAGAAGGGGAGATACGACTCCTGTGAGAGAGGGAGTCTTGACGAGGTATGCCTGATCTTCCTTCGCCGCGTATGACGAACGTCTCCCGACGCGGAGGTTAGTAGGAACGTGGGGGAGGCTAGACGTACAAAAGGGAACCTCGGCAGGATAAACCAGTTCCTCCCATTTCCCGTGGGTCGATGAACACCTTCTGCCCAAGCAGAAGGCTACTAGGACCACGAGCATGGGACGACGAAACAGGGAGCCCGCGATAGGGTAAACCAGTGACCTCCTTGCGATCGATGATTGACCGAACGTCTTCTTCGAGGCAAGAAGACTAGTAGGATCACGACAAGGACGAACGAAGCCTAGTTCCCCCGGATGAGCGGATGACGAAAACCTTCTGCGAAGCCAGAAGATTAGTAGTTCGCAGCAGGGTCGAACGGAGATAGGGAATCCCGACGTGGATAAACCTGTTTTTTCTCAAGGCGGGGATGACGAACGTCTCCTGCGAAACCAGGAGACAAGTAATCACGAAGCTTGGGAAGGACAAAGACTGATAAAAAGACTCCAAAAAAAAAAAAAAGAGAGAGAGAGAGAGGAATGGAGCAAGAAATGTTAGACGAACATGGAACAAACAATGATTTTTATTCTTCGGTACTAATGACCGGAAAATACAATGTGTGATGTAAATTACAGTGTAAATAATTGTAAGGTACAGACTATGAGCGGAGAATCAAGTTTGGCCAGCGTCCGGAGTTGGGGCCGTAAAGGGGACCTGCTTGGCTTTTTCCCTGGCCTCAGCTTCTTCACGCTCCTTACGCTCCCTCAGCAGTTCAAGGGACCCTTTATGGGCGTCTACCATCAGGGAATCGAAGCCAGCTGCCGCAGGATCAAAAGGAGCCCCAAAGTGACGCTCGAAGACAGGGAGATTCTCTGCCACGAGGCCGACCATACCCTTAAGATAAGTATCGTCGGCAAGATCATCGAGGAAGCGTTCCCCAGTGGGAGTGGCCTGGAGCAATTTGACGCCATCCAGATAAGGGTCCGGGCAAGTGGCCAAAAACTCACCGACGAGCCTCGGAAGGAACCTCATGGCCATAGTATGAATGGCACCAGTGTAGGCTTTGGACTTCTGGAACTCAATGGAACCAGATTCCTTGATCTTTGAAACGTCGGCCTCATAGATGGGGACGTGATTATCCACACCCGTACGGCGGATTTCCACCTTTGCCTGTTCCACAGCCCACAGCCGGCTGCGAAGGTCCACAAGCTCGGCCTCCTGCTTCCTAAGAAGCTCTTTCTGAGAAAGGCTCTCCTTGACGAGCTTGTCATAAGCATCAGCCTTTTCTTGAAGTGTTCCGGCCCTGCCTTTGGCGTTCCTCAAGAGGGCATCGCACTCAGCCCGCACCCGAGCCATCTCCTTGCCCTGATGCTCAAAGGCCATCCGAGCCCTGTGAAAATACAGTCCGGCCTTATCCAGGGTACTCTGCCCACACTCCAGGAGGTCTTCGGGGGCCTCATGAGCGGCGAAATCCTGGGGGACCTTGAGGTTGAGACCGCACCAGATGGAAGACGCGGTTTGACCAAAGAGCATCATCGACTCCTTGCGAGGGCCAACCCCAGAGAATTCGATAAGGCCAAGGGAGGACCCGTTGGTTTCTGGAGGCGAAGGGGGACGAGCATCGTCAGAACCCTTGGTAGCATGGACATCTTCATTCCGAAGTCGACGAACCTCAGAGTTGGCCGGAGGGGAGACAGGGGGCTTGTTCCGGGAGGAGGGTCTCCGCTTCAAGGGACTTCCCGGCTCACCGTCGGAGTCATCAGCCACTATGATGGCTTTGGAGGCGGGTACCATCGATGCGGAGCCTCTTTGAAGCCCCGGCCTCCGGTGCGTCGTCTGACCGTCTCCTGCTCGCCCAAGACTCAATCTTGGGGACGAGCGGCTTCCTGCCCTTATCCTCATTCTTGTTGTCGCGGCCGTGGGCATGCGAAGTAATATTGGTACGCCCCATGGATGATATAGTTGGGAGAATTCCTGCAGAAAGATAGTCAAGACGTTCAGAACCATAACAACGAAAGGGCGATAGGACAATGCAAGTACAAATAGACGCACCTAGCCCGGCCCGGGCCTTAAAAGGTTCGGCCACCAGCGACCGGAGGTTCTGGACGCCAAGACCAGCTATGCGCTTGGCATAGCCAAGCTCCTCATCCGTCATGGGCGGCGGAATGGATTTCACCGGGTAGGCGTTCCACCTATCGGAGAATGGCATCGGAGAGCCCACTTCGGCAAGGAAGAACCGCTCCTCCCAGCCGTCCGGGTTCCCGACATTGTTTGAAAACAGGACCATGGACGGACGCGCGATCAGGGTTAAGTACCCCGTACGTCCGAAGGGGGATAACCGGAAGAAATGTTGCAGCAGGTCCACGGTGGGGGTCACGTCAACACTGTGACATCTAATTATAAAACCCGCGATGATCCTATAAGCAGCGGGGACGAACTGAGCAGGTGTCACCTGGAGGCCCCTAAAAAGCTCTATGTGGAAGCTATGAAGGGGAAACAGAAGGCCGGCTATGACAGAGTCCAAGTGGACCACCACATAGCTGGGCAGATGGCGCATTGGGTTGCGCAAAGTCCGATCGTCATAACCCCTTGGGGGAAGGAACCATTGGCTTATCAACCGACGATCGGCGTTCAAGAGACGCTTGCGCTGACGACGAACGCCGGAAAAATTCAGGTGATGACGGGGGGGCCATGGTGGCATACCCCGCTCATAGAGCTCTAGGTCATCACCAGAGGAGCACCCATCGTCGAACCTATCAATAGTTTGGGATCCCAACATGGGCAGAGACATGACGACGTTCGGTACCTACGAGTGTCGGGGCCTGAGCAGTACCAAAGAAAGCTAGAGAGAGGAAGTGATTGTGCAGCACAAGAGCTAGAGATGAAGCGAATGGAGGATTCGCAAGATCTTGGGTACTTATAGGTAACACCGCGGGATCACGCCTATCACGGTGGAACACGTGGCGCCTGGGTACCGGTACCTACCACAGTATTAAAGGCACCTCGATGTCCTCACCCCACAGTCACCGCAAAGGGTCAGGTTGGATGTCACGAACGTCCCCCGTAGGGGCAAACAGAGATCGCTCCTACGGACTAACTCACAGTAAGACGTGCGTATGTTCGGGACACGTCCATAATTCCCGACCACATCAGACGAACATCCGAGACTGGCTTAAGCGCAGGGCGTAAAAGGTTACGCTATTCCGAAAGCGGCGAACTTCTCCATCAAGGCATTGTTCGGAGAAGCGCATTCGTATCTCTACGTCTGGTCGAACAGACGAGCGTCGCCCCACCAAGTTTAAGTTGGGCGCGCACTACACGGATGGGTATGCCTATAGCCACGGGACGAGCGTCTTCACCAACTCTGATCCGGGAGATTACGGCCACAACCCGTACGTCTCGGGGAGTAGTTTACATATGTGGGGTATCCCCAAGCATACGTTCATATCCCGACAGATTGAGAAACAGGAACGAAGTGTGGACGTGAACGTCCCCACGAACTTGGGCCACACCCCATGGGAGCAAAATAGCATTAACGATAAAGGAAAACAGGAAGAGTTCATGAACGTAGAAACAATGATAGAGCAAAAGAGTTGTGTATTCCTCGGCTCTACTGGCCGGATAAGTACAGGATCAAGACAAGGAAACTACAAGCTACATTACACAAAATTTGGAGAAACAGGTCGGGATCCCCCAGGGATGGTTTCTTCTTCCTCCTCGGGCTCGGGCTCGGGGGACGGGGGCTCCGGGACCTCCCCTCTGGCTCTGGCCTCCTCCCGCCGGGCGTCCCGTTTCAACTTGCCCACCACCCGGATCAGCTCCGGATATGAGGTATGCTCGGCCAGATCAAAACTGGGCCCCTGAAGAGCGGCGAAGACCGGCAGTGTGGCCTTTACCCCCTCGTTGTAGCCGATGACGAAGGAGCTATCCCCAACATCATATAAAAACTTCTCGGCCAGGGGCGCACTCTCCAGAATTCGGACCCCAAATTTGAGGCGGTCCTTCGGCGCCTGTTTCTGCAGCTCGGCGGCGAATACATCGCCAAAGGCGCCCCCAAGGTACTTCTGGGCGGCAATCATGAAGGCCCCAGAGTTGTGATACCCGGTCTCATCGACGAGCCATTCAGGGGCCTCGTCCTTGGGAGCAGGGAGAGCTGGGACGAGCTTGAACCCGGCCTTCTCCAGAACCGCGAGCTTCGCGGAGGACTCGCGGGCTACCTTCAGGGCGGCCTGCAGTTCTTTGTCCTTGGCCGCCAGCTCTTTCTCCTGGAGATGAGCGGCCTCTCTCGCCTTCTTCAAGGCCGCATCTGCCTTATTTTTTGCCTGAAGGGCATCGGCATCCCGAGCAGCCTCAGCCTGCAGGGTAGAGAGCCCAACCTACAAAAGAGATACAGAGGATGAGACTTCAAATCAACGGAATATGGAAATCTACCGTTCGTTTAGGGGCAAGTCTCACCTGAAGAGCGGCGGCCAGAACCGCATTGGAGGCCTCTGAAGACGTCCGGGGAGGCATTTCCACGCCAACCAGAGAGGCAATTTCCTGCCAGACGTCATGGGCCGGACGCCCAAGGGAAGGGAGGATCAGCCCTTGCTCTTCGGGGGCCGAAGAGGAAGCCCCCCGAGGCCTTTTGGACTTCTTGTCCATCGCCTTCTCCCCTTCATGCGGATGAACGGCCTGTAGGGGCGCCACGACTTCGGGAACGACAGGGTTGAGGATGGGGGCCTGGGACCCCTGTGCCATCACCGTGGCAATGAGGTGCTGCTCCGCCTCCACCGTGCGACGATCGGCTTGGGAGGCGGAAGAATTAGAATCTGCTACTTGGGCGGCCTTGGCCTTGGCAAGGGCAGCATCGGCCGCGGCACCCTTTCCCTTCCGATTCTTGAGGAGCTTCTCGTGATTCATCTGTTCCTGGGTTGGGGGAAGACCTGAAATAAAGATGGGAAATGTGTTAGATGGACGAGCGTCAGGAATAACTCACCTCGGAGGTGAGGACCGCCCAGTACCCCGAGACGAGCGTAGAAGGGGAGATGTCCGAGAGCATGGGCGGTACCTATTCCTGCCGCGGCGAGTGCCTCGAAAGTTAGGAAGTCATCTAAGGGCCGGATGCCGCCCGTCGAGATCTTTCTAATGTCCTCCTCCAGATCGTCGGTCAGCTCCGGAGATCCTATCTTGGGCGGATAGCCGTTCCAACGCAATGGCAGACGAGCATCCGCATACTGCACGAAGAAGAACCGATTCTTCCAGTCATGGATGGAACTCGGTGCTCCGCTGAACAGCCTCCGTTTCGGACGAGCTGCAATGCTCAGGAAACCGTCGGAATTTTGGGGGGTGAGCCGGTTGAAGTAATGGAACAAGTCCAAAGTGGCGGTGACCCCATTGTCCTTGCAACGGACTAGGAAGGCGGAGATGAATCGATAGGAATTCGGCATGAGTTGTGCGGGGGCTATCTGGTAACAACAGAAGAATTCTATGAAGAACGGATGAAGAGGGAAGCGCAGCCCAGCCTCGATGGAGTCCAGAAGCACCATAACCATTCCTGGGCGTCTCCTCATCACGTGGGTTGCGCCACGAAGGCTGTATACGGACGGAGGGGGGGGAGAACACCTTCAGTTTGTTGAGGGCCACCTGCGAGAAGATCTGCTCGTGGCAGAGGACGTTCTTGATTGGGCATAGATGCCTCTCCACATCTATCTTTAGCCCAAGTTCAAATACCTCGATGTCGGAGCCATCCTGCGCCTCGACCCCGGAGTCATACCCGTCCGGACGACCGTCCTCGCTAACGGACTCCTGCTCCCCGCCTTCAGCCACGGGGTCCACCACATCGAGAGCCATACTGTTTTGCTCCCCCGAATCAGCACCCTCCTCACCAGGGACAGTCGCAACAACACCAGTTTGGGCTTCCCCGGCCTGAACAGTTCCCACGGTAGGGGCCGAGCCAGAACTACCGGAAGTGCTAGTTTCCCCCGAAGAGCGTGAGCCGGAGTCGGAAGTGGAGCCCGAGGAGGAACCCGATGAGCCCGAGCCAGAACTTGACGAGATCTCCATCGAAACCATCGCGGCAAGAATTCAAGACAAGAAAAAGAAGCAGAAGATGAAAGTTACCTTAGAGGGATTAGCCGAACTTGGAAGCGGGAGAAGACTTGAAGAGCTGCGGAAATTCGAAGACAAGAGAGCAGAAATTGGGAACCCTACTCCAGAGGGGAAACCCGGCATTTATAGAAGAAACACCGGTGGGGGAGCCAACGGGGGGCTGACGCGTGGCAGGGAGCGTATTCCGGCTCACGCGCTGTGCGTGGGGCGAAAGCGTAATGATGGCATCTCCTCGGAAAATGCACCGCCGCTACAGCAGCCGTCACCTCGTTTCCTGAACCGTCGACAGCTGTTAAGCACCATGACCACGAGCGTACGCTTCCACCGGATGCGATAAACACAAGTATCAAGACACGAACGTCTACTTCGAGGGGGTTCATACTTCCTTATGTCCTGCGCATGCTCAGAACATCAGAAGTGGGGGACTTGTGTTGGGTTAAGGGCCCAAGCCGAGGTCCGGCCCACTAACCCTTCCTTCACTAGACGTACGTCCAGTCAGACCACAAGGCCAGCCCGCAGGCCCATATCCTTGGGAGTCCAGGCCCAGCGGCCCATCCCGACGAACGTCTATGCAGGGACAAGGAGCAGGACCACGGGCTACCAGGGGATGACGACGAACGTCCCCATGGCAAGCCTATAGTGCCGAGGAAATCCAGTCCACATGGAGAGAATCCACAAGGCCAGGAGACGAACAGCCGGGACCTCTTGAGGGTCACTTGGAGTGATCCAGCTCCCTTCCCAGGCGGACGAACGTCCCCATTATTTAGGCGGGAAACCTAGATTCTGGCGGGAAGTGCATTTAATGCTGAAGATTTGGTGGTTGGGACACAAGCGGTCCACAGGCCTCCACGTCAGCATGGCCACCTGCCCATTGGCGGGTATAAATAGAAGCATTTATTTCATTGTAAAGGGTTGGCAACTTTCTATTCTTAGCACTCTAGCTATAGCATTCTGACTCGCAGCACTTCTACTGCCTTGTAAGACGAACGGCCGACGGAGCCTTAGCGAAAAGTATTGTATTAGGGAGTTATTAAGAGATAATAATACCTAATCACTTACTTGCTACCTCACTGTTTCTTGGCCCTATCATCTGCTTGTTGGGCTAGTTTATTCACACACACTCCACTCGAAATCTTTGGGCTTACGTGTTGGGCCTGAAGGTTGAAGGAATAAACCTCAACAATATTCATCAACTAATTTTTATGAGTTCAAATAGTTTAATAATTTATATGGAGTCCAAATCACTAATAATCAAGGATAATAATTATTAATTTAATCACGCTAATTTAATTAGTCAACTAATCCAATAATTTATTTATGAAGTCCAAATATAGTCATTCATTTATACTAGATAACCCAACTTTATTTTCTTTTCCTTATTTTATTACAAACATCATTTTTAGTCCAGAACATTATTTTCAATCTTAGTGATTTATTTATTTCACCATTAATATCAAAATTTCCTTATTTAATTACTTAACTAGTTTATATGGCTCAATTAAATTAAATAACTTAATCATCACTGTTATAAATTACTAATCATCCATAAATATAGTTTGGGTCTATACTTGACCTAGGTTGTCCAGATATTTATTTTAGAATTATTTCCTTTATTTATTCACTTAATTTCATATATCTATTAACCGGTTTAATTACAATTAAATATGCTAATTATAATTTTTATTAATTATAAATGGTCCCAAACGTCCTAGTTAGTCATATATTTAATCTAGCTTGCTCCCATATTTATTTCATAATTATTTTCGTCATTTAGTTAATTATTTACTAAATGTGTACAACTTGGCCCAATTACAATTAAATCAATTAAAAATAGCTACAAATATTATTTTTCAATTATTCTTGGTACGAATATGTATTTTTATACCAGGTATTTAATTTATATTTTTCCATATTTTATTTATTTCATTTACTATTTTATTTTTAATTTTTTATTGAAAACGGGCCGAACCGGCCCAAATTCGCGACCCGGCCCAAGAAGACTGGGTTGTCTCCTTCCCAGCTCTTCTCCAGGTCGCGATTCCGGCGACCGGAATCCCGAAAACTCCGGCGAGCGATAACTTTACTTACAGGTAACGGATTTCGACGATTCAAGTTGCAAAATGATCCTTACGTCGAGGAGAAGCTCCGCCACCCCTATCTACGGCAAAATCGTGTCTTTTCTGAAGACCCGTTTCCACGGCTTGCAACTCCGGCGACCTCTAGGATGCTCCGGTGACTACGAATCGGTCTAAAATTTATTGGGAAGTATTCCTAGACCTCTCACGACCCTCCTCTATCGTTTTTACGAAGTTTGATACGTGAAATATTATAGGCATAAATTTTCCGGCGAGATTATGTATATATATGTATATGTATATATAGCTTCTATCTCTCCGATTTGCAGTGTTTAGGATGGCTAAGAGGGTGTATTTATAGGTCTAGATGGTCCTTATCGTTTATTTTATTTATTTGATAATTGTATGAATAATAATAATAATAATAATAATAATAATAATAATAATAATAATAATAATAATAATAATAATAATAATAATAATAATAATAATAATAATAATAATAATAATAATAATAATAATAATAATAATAATAATAATAATAATAATAATAATAATAATAATAATAATAATAATAATAATAATAATAATAATAATAATAATAATAATAATAATAATAATAATAATAATAATAATAATAATAATAATAATAATAATAATAATAATGTCTATACATAATGATAGGTTGGTAGTTGATGAACATGGCATGTGTATTGATCCCTGATTTGATTCCCATTTATATTGATGTTTCATTTTATTTTATTTAATTATTATTATATTTAATTACTTAAATGTATTTTGAGTTTTACATATAAATATATATATTTAAATATATGTACATAATGTATATACATTATTTGGTAGGTGATCTTAGCATGTGAGATTGTTTTATGATCTCATATTTTCATTTATCCTTTTGATACTTTTATTAGTAATTTATAATATTCTTACTATTATTTTTATTTATTTACTTATTTATTCTGTCACCTATATTTTTTCTGATTCACTTAATTATTAAACTGTCAATTTCGTAACATTTTATCTGACTAATAAATTATTTATTTTATTTTAATTTTTCGGGGTATCACATTCTACCCTCCTTAAAAGATGTTTCGTCCCGAAACATAACTAAAGAAAATTTTATCCACAAATGAATACCACATCCTAGTTAATATTAAATTTTATTTTATTAAATTTATGGAGTGTCACATTCTACCCCCGTTAGAAGATGCTTCGTCCCGAAGCATAAGCTAATACAATCAATATATATATATAAAAGAGGAACTTTTTAAGAGCATACAGTGTGCCACATAATCCCGCCATGTCATCATATATAACAATTATTTAATTACTTTTTATACAGTATATTTTTTTATTAGATTCTATTTTTATTGTATATTGATAAGGAAATAATATACCATGAGAATCTAAGCAGTCACGATAATTGTATATATTAATGAAAACTGGTTGATATGGAAACATATACATTTCGATGGAAACTATTCCAATTGTATATATTTTCGATTGATATTATATATACTATTCCAATTGCATATATTTTCGATTGATATAACAACTATTAGAATATTTTTTTTTCAACCAGATCAAATGAAAACTGGAGTATAATAATAATAACATCACAATAATAATAATTATTGTTATTATTAATAATAATATCACAATAATAATTATTATTATTATTATTTTTTATTCAACCAGATCAAATGAAAACTGGAGCATACGGTGTGCCACATAATCCTGTCATGTCATCATATATAACAATTATTTAATTACTTTTTATACAGCTTATTTTTCTATTACATTCTATTTTTATTGTATATTGATATGGAAACAAAAGACTGTAGCATATATAGAAACCACCTTATTTGGTAACTTTTTAAGAACCTATTACTTACTTCATATTAATTTGGATAATTATTAAATTAAGCAATTGGAACCACAAGAATAAACAATCATCCCTACACATAGACTATATATGTTTTATATCAATTATTTAATTTTTTTAAATACCTTTTATTACATTCTATTGAAAAATGAATTATCCCTGTTTTGCCCACCTAACAGATAAATCATCTAAATTCCTATTAGCTAAATTATGTACTGCCCGTGCATCGCACGGGCTTGAAACCTAGTATCTTATAATTTAAGAGGTATTACAAGGTTACGTCCTCGTAATCACAACATTACCATAGTCAAATAACTTTGGATAGCGGCTGCGCATATCATCTTCGGACTCCCAAGTGGCGTTTTCGGCCAAGTGGTTAGACCACAATACCTTCACCGTTTTGACCGCTTAACTTCTAGTCTCATGGGTTTCCTAGTACTAAGACATTTATAAGTCTTCTAAGCTATCTCAATTATATATACTAGTCCTTCACTAAGTCATCCAAATTCTATCACATATAGGCATTTAAAAAATGCTACGTACAAAACTTCATATATTTCAATCATATAATTCAACAGCTTTAAACTCTAACATCCTCACCACGTTCCTAAACTTACTCTTTCTTATTCATGTTATTATTCCTAACTATATTTTCTTTAAAAAGCTTTTGGAAAACTATTATCTTTTTGAAAACATTTAGAAAAAACATTCTTGAAAAATTCTCCACATGGTTTATAAAATAAAGACTCCGATACTGTTGGTCCCAGTTTAGCAGACTAACGATCAGCTAGATGAACATCATCGATAGACAGAAGAGAAAGATTTCATATAATGATATAAGATTTATCGAGAACAGTGAAACCTTCTTTCTGTAGTATCGAGAAGTAAATTTGGCAGCGTAAGGCTAATGTGTATTGATCGATATCGGTACCTGTACACAAGGCGCGTATTTATAGGCGCTGTACAGGTTACCGATTTAGGTAAACCTTGGAAGTTGGGCCAAGGCCTTTTTGGGCCTTATTCCCTTTACCTTATTTGCTACATAATAAATACTAATCTAATACCATAAATGGTATAACTAGTCTACTTTATTTAAACAAGACATTACAGACAAACTTGACCCACAATAAAAGTTCTAACAATCTCCCCCTTTGTGGTCAAGTGCCGTCTTGCTGGGTTTCTTCACTTCTGAGCTTTGTAATAGTTCTTTCTGAGATTAAGTGCGTGCTCATAGTTTCTGAGTGAGTTTCTTCTATCAAGTTGCTTTTCAATGGCTTGTAGAATATTGTTAATTCTGTGCAGTTCCTTCTGGTCTCCTTCAGTGGCTTCAGTCGATTTCTGTCCAAGTTCTTGTTTCTTTGATCGGAGCTGCTCCTGGATGATCTTCAACGTTCCGTCACAATACTTGTTAATTTCGTCCACGAACATTAGACGTTTTTCGTTGTTATGATTCAGATAGATGACTGATACTGGATTGTCAAAAATATGATATGCTTCAAAGGATTCAAGGCCAGGTCTACTCAAGTCCGGTCTAGTAAGATTCACCTTTGAATAGTTGTGCTCTATGGTCATCTGGAGGTCATGAGAAGCGTAGAACCGAACTTGTCTTGTCATGAATCTTTTTATCGCCTCGAAGCCTTCTTTAGCGAGTCTGTCTTTGTGAACTGGAAGCTCCCTGCACCTCATGAACATTTGATAAATGTCATCCATGTGCAGTAGAAAGAAGTCATTCTCTTGACAGGTGAACTCCGAGCCATCAGTACGTTGTAGACGAAAAATCATGAACTTAATTGTCTCCAGGTGATCTTCTGTAATCTCCAAGATTTTCAATATGGGACATCCACTTGTCACAAGGTTGTGATTTAGAACTTGTCGACGTTGCCCTGTGGATCTATGTCCTAGCATATACAGATTTCCTCCTCTATATTTTCCTTTCAAGTGATTGATTCCTCGCATTTTTAATTCACTGAACTTCTTGACTTTTTCTGGTTGTCTCCAAATCTTCTCTCGAATTTCTTCAAGAAAGGGGGCTTTGATCCGTATGATTTCCCATTTTTCTTTAGCTGGTTCTGGTTCCTTGAGATTTTCTCTTTGATTCTCCCCTTCCTTGAGTTCGTCTTTATCGAGTCCAATCATCATTGCATGGTATTTATTGAGGAACTCTCTGAGATGCCAGCTTCGACACATTTCATACTGATCGGCTTCCACTCTAAGGTCATCCCACTCTGTCCATTTAGGAGCCCATTGATCATGAACTAGAAGATCTTCAAGCTCATCTTGTATTGGATTGTCAGAGGGTTCAGAGGGAGCTTGCTGCTGTGTCGAAGGTGACTCATCGTGTGAAACACCGGGATCCTCAGGATTGCCCGTTGACATCAGTTTCGAACTAGGTTCTAGCTGATGGCCTGAGTAAGAAGATGTACTCGTGGTAGCATCATCAGGACTTCCATTCCGTCCTTGGTTAACATCTATAGGAGATGCACCTCGGGATGTTATGTCTAGCTCGACCATGCTAGAGAGAGTGGCTAGGGATTTATGGCTAGCTGAAGTAGTGGGTTGCTCATTGGTAGAGGTAGAGGGTTGGTTTGGCTTTGAGGGTTGGCTAGTAGAAGCAACATGCTCAAGTATCCGCTGGCGCTTGTTCTCCCCCTCATGAGAATCCGAATCATCAGGGTCCTCATGTGAACGTTTAGCGCCACGGAGACTGTCACGGCAAGTGTTCTGTGTATCTAGAGCAAGGAGAAGGGCTTTTTGAAGAGGGGTGAGGTTGCCTTCTTCCACGTCTAGTATACGGTCGTAGATCTCAGCTACAAGATCCTCGAAGGGTACGGTTGTTAGGTTAGGTTTGGTCGTTGTAGGGGAGAATACTAGTTCTGTATCCTGGGTTCCCCTTGATGTGGATGGTTGTTGGTGTTCTATAGTTAAGGGTTTGGAGACAGGTATGGCAATGGTTGAGGGCTGTGTTGTCTGGGGTTTGGATGGTATATTCTGAACAACTGGGGTACTTCCAGAGTCTTGTGCATTAGCGGTTATTGCTTCATGCACCCATGGCTTAATGGTAGACTCTAGAAAGCTGTTCAGATATACGAGAATGTCTTCGGGGATAATGGTACCAGTTACAGGGGTTGTAACTGTTGTCACAGCATCAGTGAAGACAGCTGATGTGTGGCCTGCGTTCAATGATCGAGGCATTGTTGGCGTAGCAGGGCTTCCGACCATCATAGTTTGCACTCCGGTCGTTGCATTCAGGGTGAGTGCACCTGTATGTGCAGTGAATAGTGTAGGTGTCCTAGAAAAATTCAAAAATGTAGGAATGGTGACACCTAGACTCGAAGTGATAGAACGGATGGGGGTAGTGGTTCGGGGCTGTTGACCACTAAGTCTCTCAGCAGATTCGGAAGGAATCAGTGAGGTC